GGAGCGCACCTCAAAGATCCTCTGGAGGGGTGGGGACCGCGCACCTCGGTCGAGCCGGAGGAGAAGGGCTCGGACCGCGGCCCGGCACGTCCCCCTTTTACAACTGGGGAAACTGAGGCTGGGAAACGAAACGAAAGGTTGGCGGGGTCGGGAGGAGCGGAGAGGCTAGGTTTGCCTTCGGTCTGGCCCCTCCTGTAGGTGTGGCCCCGTCGCTCTAGGGTCTGAGCGAGCTCGGGGTGTGCAGCCTGGGCGTCCCCTCTGCGGTCCGGTCCCGCTTGGACACCATTCCTTCCCCAGGGGATGGGCAGTGCTGGGCTCCTCCCTGGCCCCAGGCGGTCTCGCCCTACACGGGGGGCTGGACGGGGTCCAGGCAGAAGAAAAGATTTGCCTGAGATGCTGAGCCTGGGGGTAGGGGCTGAGCTAGGAGGGAAGTTTGAAAGGGGTGGAGGGACCCCGTTCCTGCGGAGCTCCCCGTCTTGTGTCTTGTCTCCGAGGCCACCTCAAATGGCTTCAGAAGGTGAAGGCGGGGACCCACCCAGGCGTCCGACAGAGCTGAGAACCCGGTGTCCCCCAAACTCTGTCTCGTTTACCCAGGCCCCCACTTTCCTTCTGCATCCGCAGCAGGGAGGACTCCCAGGTTAATGCTCCCCCCCTCGCCCAGCACCAGCCTCCCTCCCTGCACCTGCTTGGCATCTTGCTGCCGGCTCAGGTGTGCCCTGGGCACAATGGACTATTGTGCGCCCCTGATCTGGTCACTGGGGGAAGTTCCTGCTCTGATCAGCTGGCCCTCTGTGAAGAGGCTGTCCAGCCATCTCCCGGGACTGCAGGCCGGCGTGGGGGCCCCAGGGACCTGGAATCCAGGCCATGGGGGCCACAGCTTCTGGAGTCCACTCTGGTGGCGAGAGGGCGAGGGCCCTGGCAGGAGGCAGCGTGTGGATGGGATCGAGTCCTTCTGTGGTGTGACCAGGCCAGGCTCTGTACACCTCTGAGCTTCCCTGTCTGGAAACGTGGCCCAGCCCTGGCCTCAGGAGCGGCCTGTACCCCAGAGGGGTGGCCAGTAGGACTGGTCCAGGCCAGAGGAGCCTGCTGCTTCCCTGGCTGCACTGGGCTCCCTCACCCCAGCCCGTCTCCACCCCCAAGGGTTGGTCTCTGTGAAGGACACCTGCCCCTGGCCCTCATGCCTCTCCTGCCCGTGGCCGTGGCAGGTTCTTGGTCCTCAGCTTCTCCTGTGACCAGGTGATGAAACTGAGGGGTGCTAACGGAGGGTCCTCAAGCTGGGTGGCCCCTGCTAAGGAGGATGCTTCTGCACCCCCCTCTAGATGAGCTCAGCAAATGGTCAGCCCCCCTGTCCCCTCAGGAGGTGTATCTGCGCCCCCCCCCCCCCCCCCCCCCAAACGCAGGGCAGGTCTGGGGCACACGTTGGCTGGTTGTGGCCTTGGAAGCCTGGACAGGCCGGGGCAGCCTGGGCCTGGCAAACAAATCCAGGATGTGAGTGTGAACTGGGAGCCAGGCGGGGCCAGGCTGCCCCAGAGGAAGCCCGCACCGCCTTCCTGCCCCCTTGGTGCTGCTCCTGCTCCCGGAACCCTGTCCCCACCCAGCTGGCTCCGGGGAGGTGGCTGTGCGGCCTGGAGCCCGGCTAGGGACCCAGCCTGTGTGCTGGGGGGTGGGGAGGGGTAAGATGAGGTAAAGGGTTGAACTGATAAAGGGTATGAATAGACCCCAGAGTTGGCCGGCCACCCAGCCAGGAGGCTCCCCCAGCACCTGCCCCTCCCTTTGGCAGTGAGAGCTGACATCAGCTGGCAAACCTGTTTCCCCAGTTGTGGGTCTTGGCCCGCCCTGGGGAGCAACCCCTTTCTGCCCTTCCTCTCCCCTCACAGTTCCCAGGTCCAGACCCACCCATGCCCTCCCCCTGGGGCCCTGCTCAGCGCGGGGCTACCTGTCGGGGAGGGAAGGGGCTGTGGGTGCTCCTGCAGGAAGAAGCCGCATCATCAGTCTGAGGTCCCTCGGGGCCCTGGTGGGGACACCAAGGCAGGGTCATACCAAGGTCAGCAAACAAGTTCGGGGCAGAGTTCCGGCCCGGCCTCCATCCTGTGTGTGTCACCTGTCCCATGGGCAGGGGCTGCACAGCTGTGTTCTCCGTGGACCTTCCTCCCCTCTCCCCAAACCAAGCCGGACCTCAGCCCAGGGGTCCCCGTGTTAACCCTCATTGTTCTTGCTATTCCGGGGCTCCGAGTAGCTGGACAGAGAGCCACAGCAGTGACCAATCAGGGAAGCCGGGCCAGAGGAGGCTGAGTTTGGGCCCTAAGGGCTTCAGGACCGAAACAGCAGGAGCAAGAACAGGACAGTGGAGTGAGGGGGGCCTGGCGGCAGGTGGGGGGGCTTCCCTGGGGATCGAATAGGGAAGGGGCGAGAGGGGAAGGGGACAGCACCCAACAGGCTAGCAGTAGGGCAGCATGGAAAGTTTATGCAAAATAACATGCAAATGAGTAGCCCCTTTTCTGCTGGAGCAGGGATGTCCCTCAAAAGCCCCCCCAGTGAAAATGAACATTGTGGGGGGCGGGGGGCACCCCAGCTGAGGGGCACTCAAGGTCACAAAGGTCAGGATTGGACATACATTGAGGTTACAGGTGGGGAGCCCAGGTTGAACTCTCCAGTTTTGCCTTTGAGGACTCAGGTTCCAGGGAGGTCAGGTCAGAGGTGGAGCGGGCCTTGCTCTGCCCACCCCTCCCTGACTGGTGACCTCATGGAAACCTGGGAAGGCCCTCTGCCGGCTCTGGGGCCTCAGCTGGGTCCTGTGCTCTCCTGTGCCTCAGTTTACCGTCCTCCATTGCCAAGGCAACCCAAGGGGGCGGGGCTGAGGTGTTGGGGAGAGTAGCAGAGCCCAGGGGCTGGTAATCCCTGGGGTTGTTATGGCAACTGGGGAGCTGATGTGGAATTGTGGGGTCCCCATGGAAACAGGGTCTGTTACTCTGGGGACCCTGGAAGGAAATTCCTGGTTTCCATAGTGATAGGACAAGGGTAAGATTAAGCCCCGGGTGGGGTGTTGTGGAGACCAGCAGGTCCACCCCTTTCAAGATCCCCTCCCCAAGTAAAGGGGGGAAACGCCCCGCCCCCTGGGCCCTGGGACCACTCTGCTCCAGGTCCTTGCCCCTGGCAAAGCGCCCGTCTTCCTGCTTCATTCCTTGGTCCTGCAAGTCTGACCTCCAGTCCTGGTGTCGTCAGAGCCACTTCCAGCCTGGCCTTGCCGTCCCCCTCCTCATGCTGAGGGGGGAGGCCCCCGTCCCCACAGAGGTCACCCTGATCAGGCCTGTCCCGTATCTGCCTGCCTCTCCCTGGAGCTGGTGCTCACTGCCACTCAGGCGGCTCTGACGGGAGGAGTCCCCGCTGTGGAGCTCCCATCTTCTCTCCCTCCCCGGCGCCCAGCTCTCTCCCGGGCCCACCAAGGTGCTCCGTTCCCCTGCCTGGGCCAGCCAGCCGGGGAGGGGCCCAGGAGACCGTGGCTCTGCTGGCGAGCCGAGGTCTGACACTCGTCTGTCACTCAGGGAAGGGGGTGGGGAGAAGACAAGTGTTGCCCTAGAAAGCTCACACCCCGGCCTGGCCCGCGTGGCTCAGTGGTTGAGCATCCACCTAGGAACCAGGAGGTCACACTTCCATTCCCGGTCAGGGCACAGGCCCGGGTTGTGGGCTCCATCCCCAGTGTGGGCCGTGCAGGAGGCAGCCGATCCATGATTCTCTCTCGTCATTGATGCTCCTCTCTCTCGCCCTCTCCCTTCCTCTCTGAATCAGTATCTATATGAAAAAGCTCACAGCCCGGATTTGGGGTGAGCTCCCACTGACCTGGCCACATGCTGCTGGGTGCGGTGGGAGAGCCTGGACTAGTGAAGCGAAGGATGCTTTCAAAGAGGCAGCTGAAGTGCAAAGAGACTAGTTCGTGTTCCGTAACAAGCTACCAAGTGGGAGAACCAGGTGTGGACTCCAGAACCCGTGCCCCCAACCCGTTCAGTTTGGCAGCCCCGGCCTCTGCAGCACCAGAGGGGGTGGGGCTGGGGCAGGTCCTGGCTCCGGCGGGAGCACTGAGGCAGAGGAAACATGGACAGCAAAGCGTGTGCGGACCTGTGGGGTCTCTGAGCAGGAGGCAGGGGTCATGTGGTCAGCTGGGGCTGGCTGGCTAGCAAGCAGGAGTGCTCCTGGCCGAGAACTAAGGTCTGGCTTTCAGCATCCTCAAGGTGCAGCCAGACTGGTGAGGTGTTCCCTCTGGGGCCCCCCAGACACCCCCCTGCTGTGGGAAGAGTTCAAAGGAAATGGTCTGAGTGTCCTGGCTGGTCTGGGGCCTCAGGGTTGAGCATTTTGGCGTCCTTGCTGCAGAGCGGGGAGCGGTCGCCAGAGGTACCTGACAAGGAGTGGCAGGGGTGCGGGCCTGCACCTTGGTGGCCCCAGCCCCTCTCTGAGTTGCCTCAGTTTACAAGAGGGTAAACTGAGGCAGCGGAAACTGAGGCATAAGAGGGTAAACTGAGGCTCGGACCGGTGACGAAATGCACACTGAAGGTGCCCAGCCACGGGGCGGAGGCCTCCACCGAGGTTTCTTAGGGGCCTGGCTCAGGCTGCTGGCGTCCGGCCCCCTTCCCTGGGGTTTATTCCGTCCTGGCCTCTGTGGTCTGAGGCGCACATGTGGCAAAAATCAGCCATCCGTCCAAAGGCAGCGCTAGACGTCCTTGCGTTGAGGTCCGTGGCCCCGGGGAGCGGCCGCGGGCTGCTGGGTGCAGCCTGCGATGTGTCCTTGCCCCTTCATCCTTCTCCATTAGTCCCTGGCCATCCCCTCTGCCCCTGGGAAGGAAAGTTGTCTTCAGTGCTCAGCTGGCTGGGATGGGAGCTCCAGATGGGGCCAGCGCGGAGGGAGAGAGGGCAGGCTGAGGGCAGGACCCTCACAGGCCCGGCCAGGACCCTCTCGGCTTAGAGCAGCGGTCGCCAACTGGTGGTCCGTGAGGTCCGAAAGGTTGGCGGCCGCTGGCTTAGGGCTCAGGGCAGATTAGAGCTGGGCTAGCACTTACTCAGCTGTGTCCCCTGAGCAGAGACCACAGGGCCCGTTGCGGAGGCCAGGACACGGGAGGGGGTGGGGAAAACGGGTGGATGAGTCCTCCTCACAGTCCCTGGGGCCCTGGACCCAGGTCAGGGAGCTCCGGGTGCCGTGATGAAGGGCACTAGAGCAGTGGGATCAGAACCTGGGCCCGATAGACCTGCCCTGACTCCAGCCCCCACCTCATGCCCTCAACCCAGGCATAGCGCCTCAGGCTCTGACCCAGAGACATGTGCCCCGCCCCTTCGTGTTCCAGGCCTCACCGCTGGTGCTGGGCCCTGGGTGCCCGGTCCCCCCACCCCACCCCCACCCCACATCCCTGCGGTCTGCCGGGAGGAAGCGGCCCTCCTCCCCCACCGTGACTCTGCGCTTCCTGCCCCGGCTGGGGCGGGAGGGGACGGGAGGGGACGGGAGGGGACGTTTCCCGTTCACACCCAAGGTTCCCTGGCGGCACCTAGACTTGGGCTCAGCTGCTGCCCCTTGACCCATGGAACCGGCTCTGGGGCCTGGGGTCCAGGTAACCAGCAGGGTGGGTGGAGGTTCCCAGGGCCAGGAAGGACGTCCTGTCTGTATGGGACGTGCGTGTGCATGGGTCTGCCTGGCTGACAGTGCACATGCACCCTGGGATCTGCGGTCAAGGAAGGCTTCCTGGAGGTGGTGGCTGCTGAGCTGGAAGAAGGTGGCAGGCGAGGGCTCAGCCCACGGCTTTGGGTCAGGCCTGGCTGGTGGGTGTGGGCCACAGCCATACCCCAGGCATGCACACACTGAAGCCCCTCCCCTGCCTCTGCCAGGCCTGCCTGGGTCCCCAAAGGCTAGGGAGGGGGGAACAAGAGACTGGAAAGCAGAGGGCGGCCTGGGAGAGTTGTCAGTACGTACAGCCATCTTCTGATGCTGACCTTCCGACTTCCTGCCTCCCTCACGCCCAACCTGTCTCTGTCCCTCCCTTTCTCCACCCCCTCTGCTCTACCTCTGCTCCCTCTACTCTGTGCCCACTTCCGTTCACTCTCCACTTCTGTCTCTATCCCCTTGTGCCCCCACGGCCACTGCACCCCTTCTGATCCCCCTCCCCGTCCCCCAACCTGCAGAAGGACCTGGGCTCCCTGCAGCAGTGGCTGAAGGCCTATGTGGATGCCTTCGAGAGGAGCATCTCGCTGTCCTCACTGGAGCCACGCAGGTGAGGCTGGCTCTCACGGAGGGGGGAGGCCTTGGGGTCCTCAGCACCCCAGTGACCCCTCTCCCCGCAGGCCCGAGGAAAAAAAAAAGACCAGGGGGACCTGGAGCAAACCCTGCTGCTGCTCAAGCTCTTCGTCATCCTCTGCAGGTGGGTCCCTGGTCCTGCCCGCGGTGGGGGGCGCGATGGGGCCGGGCACGGGGACAGCTGTGGCCTCTGCCATCGTTCACTCCCCAGGAACCTGGAGAACGTGGAGGCCGGCTGGGGGCAGGTGCTGGTGCCCCGCGTACTGGCTCTACTGACCCGGTTGGTGGCCAAGGTGAGTGGCTCCCCCTGGGGGGCGGGACAGGTGATAGCACCACCCAGCTGACCCCTTCCACCTGCTCCGCACACCCGCAGCTGAAAGGGCGCTCGCCGCTGCCGGAGGGCCCCGGCCCGGAGCTGGAGGAGGTGGTGGCCCTGCACGCCCTCCTCCTCTGTGAGGGCCTCTTTGACCCCTACCAGACCTGGCGGCGCCAGCACTGTGGGTGAGAGCCGGCCACCCACCCACCAGGACCCGAGGGGCTGGGAGAGGGTGCGGGTGGCATGGGGGCTGTGGCCAAGGTGTGG